TCTCTCTCTCTCTCTCTCTCTCTCTCTCTCTCTCTCTCTCTCTCTCTCTCTCCTTCTTTCTTTCCCTGCCTGCCCGGAAATATCTCCCGAATCTTATTTAGCTCGGTCTCCTCTCGATCGTGGATCGCTTTTCGCGACTTGTGCACGACATATCAAACGTGGATTCGAGGGCACCGACCTTCGATTCTTCTCGCTGTACTAACTGACTGTTGCCAACGTTACGGCTCGGCGTTCTGTTAAACGAAGGCTCGTTCCTATTGATAGCGATTGAAATCGGTCGCAGCTGCCGCGTCTCGTTAACACTCATTATCTGTCTCATTATCTGTTCTGTGAACCCGGTCAGTTAGGAAACAAAAACACCAATATCGATATTACTTAAGCGCGCGGCATTTTCGACTGTCGAAGCTGCCGGGGTTCTTCTCTCGCGCGCTTCGTCGCGCTCTGTCAAATCCTAATCTCCTGATTCTGCTTAGGCGCGCTAATCTCCTCTGCCGAATGGGAGATTATTTTAAGCGCGGTGTCGTAACCCAACCGCCGTTCTGCGGGTTAACCGCGCTTCCCAACGATCGCTGTGTAATTATCGCGCGTATCAAAGCGAAACTATCGAACGAGCTTGGATATCCGATTCGATCCTATGATTCGCACCGTGAACAAATCCGAACGACGCGATATTGTATGTCTTTTGTATTCGGATTTATAATCACACGCTGTATCGTGTAAAGAGACTCTTTTCCGGCTGAAATACACATACGATTTTGAAGAGTCGCGCGCATGTAAATTGGCGGAAGGAGAAAAGGCGCAGAGCGGTGAATACACTGTGACGCTTTCAAGTTTTCGGGTGCAGGAAGTCGGGCGAAATAACGAAACAAAGAGAACGCGGACACAAAGAAACGGGAAGCCTCTCGTCGTCACCGACAACGAAATAAGTCGACCACGAAAGGACATCCGGTCTTTCTCCCCCCTCCTCTCTCCCTCGTTCTCTCTGGACACCACAAATTCACCGTCTGTTTCCTCTTGGTTTCACCTTCCGCACCACCTGTCGTTACCATGCAAGCCGGGGGTTCACCTTGCTCTGGAGAAGCCGCGACGCGTTAATCGAGACGCGTCGAATTTAAGATCGATACTACACCCCGTCTCCTATCGGTTCGCACTTTTCTCCTGGATGCAAAAGACAGGTCTTACGTGTTACGCCAACCGCAAACGACGATTATCGTCGTCGGTGTCCGACGGTTGACATGAGAGTTTCCAACGAATCGTGTTACGCGCACAGTAAGGATCTCGTGTGTTACTCTCGGCAGCGGGCAAATAGACGAAATCACAGCGTATCGACTCGGAAAAACATTTCCGTAGCAGTTTATGCACAAAACACGCGTTTAAAATCCAGACAGACATATACAAGGCAGGTACGTCTTCTCACTCGGAGAAGTTTGAACGAAGGAAAATTTCACAAGCTATGATAATTGTACCTTTTCAAAGTCCAAGGAGTTTCAAAGATCCTAATGCGAGACTCTCCCGTCTCTTACGTCGTCGAATACGACTGGCGTCGTTGCGAAGAAAAAGTTTTGCTGTGAAAAAAGACAACCGTAAAATGTTGACATTTTTGACCTAATCTAATTTATTGGAGAGAAAGAAAGAAAGAGAGAGAAGCGTCTCCTCACGGAGGATCGAGTTTACGCACTCGGTGGCGACCATGGCAAGGCTTCGATGGTAGCTTTAAGAACGGCCGCGGACGTCTCTGTCGGATGCACGAGGCGGTGGAGAGGGCACGGACGAGAGGGGAGCGAGACGGGTGGTGGAGGTGCGCGATGCACACACAGTGGCGGATGTAGAAAGGGAGGAGACGGCACCGCTTGGATGCAACGTGCTTCTTCCATCTTAACCTTTTCGTTCATTTACTCGAGTTGGGGACTATTTCGAATACGTGAAATATATGAGACATACATTGAGAGAAAAGTGATTGATCTAATTGGAGTTGTAGTTATTTTTGGTTCGTATTTTTGCTTATTTTAACACGAAAATGTTAGTAGTGACATGCATATAAAGTCATTATCGCTTGCACATTACAGCAGAATTTGATGAAAAAACGACTTTCTTGACTACAGTTTATAATAATTATTTCACATGTGATTTATTTCATGTGAAATACCAAACATCTTTTTCTTTCAGTGTGTATATTTGGTTGCGCTCTCGCTTGTCTTTAAATTGTCAATCTCCTGACGGAGATCGGAACTGCTCCGTTCAACGAGACGTTTTAAACATATTACTTTCCGTATATATACTTTAGAAGAATTGTTGAAGGACGAAAACTTGAAATCTCACGACTTCTTATCGGGAATCGTTTGAGAGAAAGGGCTTTCACATCGATTTACCACTTTACAACTCTTTCGAAGTCAAATCCGTCTTTGAGAGTGTAATTTTACTTCTTCACCAAAAAAATGCAATCTTATCCATAATAAAATCCTCGTATTATGTCCTTGAGAGAATTCTTCTCAAGTCAAAAGGGAAATATCCTAATATCCAAAAAAAGAATTTTAGTTGCGATTTCCTGCAATCCCATATCATAAGTGAGAAGCTTAATATATATTTATTTTAGCAGAAAATGATTTCTCTTCTAACAGAGAGGAATAATACCGTGCTTAGAATATTGGTTTTTCTTTCGAGTATAAGAGACTCCCGCCAAGAGTGAAATATTATTTATTGTTACTCGAGTAAATTATGCCTCCTGCGAATTATGCCTGGCAAAAGGATCAAGTTTATAAGAATATTTCATTCGCTGCATCTTTCGTGTTCCACCGATGCTCCAGTCACGTCCGAGTTTGCATCCTCACATAAAAGTCTCGAGGTCTGTTCTTTTCGAACCGTCTGCACACAAATATGTTTTGTTTCACTCTAACTTATCGCAGCGGTCGAGAGGCAGTTTAGCTGAAAAGAACAGACCTTCAGTCCGCCACTGTCTCGACATGTGTCGAGACGGGGAGAGCAGCTCGCTCCGCGACGCTTCGCCGGCCGCGCTTCGCTTAGTCGCGCTTCTGCACTCACTGTGCGAGGTTAAGCGAGTCGGCGGGAGCGTGTGTGCGCTCTCTCGCATCGCCCGATAGTTATCCGGCTTACGCGTGCGGTCATTCGCGTGCGTTGTACGGGACGCAGTGTGTCTCGCGCGCAGTGTGGCAACGCGTCCTTCCGTAATTCTCCGGCGTTTTCTTTACCGGCGCCACGTACATGACGCTTTCGTTGCATTCGAGTCATCATCGCTCTCGAACACGGCGTGCTTCGAACACGGCAGTGGCTGAGGTGGCACACAGGATGACAGCTACCGCAATTGGTGACGCGATTGTCGCCAAGGTCCTCGTAATAACGGTGTCCGAATTCAGGCCCGACCAGACGCTGTAACGCGATCGCGCGTCTCTCGCTCTCACTGGGGAGTGCTTTCCCTCCAACGCACGGCGCCTCCAACGCACGGCCGCGAGGGTACTATGCCGAGAGGGGAAATTTTGTCTCGCAAAGAGATCGCTCGGAGGGAAAGAGAGAGAACGCGAGGATTCCCCGGCACCTGCTCGTCGTGAGAATCGTCGCAACGTGCGCGCGCACGTTTTTGGTTCGACGCGCGCCAAACTGCGCCGAGTCCGCGCGCGCGACACGTCGTTAGTCGCTTCGATATTGATAACGAGATAACATCCAACCTGGTGTGTCATCGGCCCTTCGTGGAATTAGTGGCTGGAGGAGCAGACTCGCCGAAATTTATGAAGAAGAAGAAGAAGAAGAAGTTGGCTCTCCGACGTATGTGTACAACACCGTGTACGTACGCGTGTCGTGCTCGGCGAGGCTCGACTCGAGAGAGAAGACCGCGTGCCTACGCGGATAGAAAGTTAATTCTCGGTGGACTCGCGCGATCCGAAACCTCCCAGCGATCTTTGTGACTCGAGAACTCTCGCCGATGATCGGCCGAATCGATCGAAAGTAAAGAACGTGCGAGTGGTGTGATACATACGTCTCTCCGGCGCGTGAGGTGGCGCGAAGCTTTGGACGAAGCTTTGGACGAAGCGTTTGTCGCGAGTTCTTGAGAAAGAGAGAGGAAGAAGAGGTGCAAAAACGGCTGGAAACACGACCAAGTTTATGATGGGGGTACTGAAGTGGAGGAACGATCTCAGATCGGATTCCGTGACGCAGCAACAGCAACAGCAGCAGCAGCAGCAGCAGCAGCAGCAGCAGCAGCAACAACAGCAGCAACAGAGACCGAGCTCGGAGCGATCCACCGGGAACAATGTGCACACTTTCTCAAGGCTTCTGTCGCAGGTGAGTCCCCCTCCTCTCGAAAGTGCAGCACGCTCGTTTGATCCTTCTTTCCTTCGATAGCAAAAGTTGAGTTAACGATTGAAAAAGAATATCTTTGTCGAGAGAGGGAGGGAGGGAGGGGAGGATAGAAGCTTGTTCACTCGATATAAAATTAACCTCCCCGGAACTTGTTTTCGCGAAAACAAAGGAATTAGCGAAGATAAAGATTCGTCTTGAACGTCCGAAGAGTCCAAGTCGTCGATGAAAGAATCGATTTCGCGCTGCGCGCGTAAACGAGCAGTTCGCGTCGGACGGAAGAAAGGCAGGCGCACGGTAAACCGCGAAACGAGAGCATTAACTGTAACTTCGGCCCGACTGTGCGTTCATTTTCCTAGCGCGATCCGTTATACGTGCGCGCGCGCGCGCTCGAGGTACCGGCCGATCTTAAAAAGTCCCATTTTCCCACGAGTGACGCGGTACCGCGGTTTCGCGTCGCGTCATTCCGCGCCGCGAGATAGATATTCCTATATACGTCGTTTTCTGGAACAGCGTTGGGTCAGGCACACACTTGTTGCGATAGAACTAACTTAAATTGTACCGCGAGTGCTTTATCCGAGTGGCTGCTCCATTTAAGCAGTCTCCTAACATGTGCATACGCCAGGTGGTTAGAATATAATTAGGATAGGACAGAATATATATCATATTTCTTACTCAAGTATTAGCCGAGAGAATGGATTTGGACGGACAGATTAGAAAATGTAGGTCATAAGTCACGCGGTATAAAGTTGGATAGGAAAAATTGTATATTCTTGTGACTCAGCGTTTCGATTAATGCGAGCCGATTGGCTTCCTCCGATTGGAACCGAGTCGAGAAGAAACGTAAAATCGATTAAACCGCGGTTAATTGCCGCGGGCCCTTAGGCGAACAACGGCTCTCATCGTTTCACGTCTGTCCTTTGAAATCGTGGCTATGCTAGCTCAACGCTCGCCGGTCGTCGCGCGTAATTATATTCGAAGGGCCGCCGACGCGCTCATCCAACGAGTTAAACGCGAGCTCTCTTAACGACCGGCCAGCACGTGCTCTCGACGACAGGCATTTTAATTCCCCGCAGAAGACGCACCGAGCTCTGATTGCCGGGAATTATGCTTGTCGCGCCGATGACCGGCGCTCGTGCGCGCGATTTAACCACGCGCGGCCAATTATCGTTCCCTTTTTCGTGCTCTCGACCACACCGTGAAATTCGTAATCGACTATTACGCTTCGCGTACGTTCAGTCGGGCGAGAGAGTCGCGCTTAAGATCTCTCGAGTGGAAAATTCAAAGTTTTCAATTAGAAACGCAGAATGGAAATTGCGCAGGTGGCAGAGATGTGTAAGCTGCGAACTCTGAGAGTTCTGATTATCAGGAAGAGACTCGCAAAGTTGAAAGCACCGACGCTTGAATACCAATAACGCTTGCATCTAATTCTGGACATTCTTATATTGTTTAGATACGAATATTTCAACTTTCAAAGTGTAGAATATGCAAGATACCAGACGTCAACACTTATACAGTAAGAAAAAGTTAATTCCGTATATATGGTTACATATATCATATCGTGCTCATCGCCAGTAAGAAACGTTCGCCACGTGATAAAGAAAGATTCGTATTTTCGGATTTGACTTTGCAATCACGCTTGACATTGTTTCGTCCGCAACACGTGTCGCAACTCGCGAAATGAAAGCGCCCCACTTTAAGATGTCGAGTAAGCAACTTGGTCTCTCCTAGAGAATAAGAAATTGTTCGAGTCGTCGTTATTCTCGAAACGAGGATCCTGAGCGCGTTTTCAGACACGCGCGCGCGATTTTCGTTAGCGCGCTTATCGCGCCTCGACGTCGCGTCGCGGCTTATCGTTTATCGAAGTGTTCTCGATCACCCCTCTCTTCCTTTTTTCCTACCTAAGGAGTACGTGCCTCGTGAAGCGGAGAAATCGTTATTCACTGCATCGTTAAGATACATCTTCGATTATCGTAATCGTCATTCTCGTCGTCTATCTCGAACTGTATCGTTCATATCTCCGCATGAGAAAAGAAAGGAGTCTTTAGTTTCTGATCTGGAATAGAGGCCAAAGATGTCTCTCCCGAGAAGAGAGAGAGAGAGAGAGAGAGAGAGCGCACGAAAAGTCGCAGTCGTGAGACAGACGACAAAGTTGCGTTTTAAAAGGCGCTCCGCAAAGGGGCCGCACAGCTGTTTGTTCGTGCGTCTTCCCTCTCCAAATCCCTCCTCTCTCTCTCTCTCTCTCTCTCTCTCTCTCTCTCTCTCTCTCTGTCACTTTGGCGTATATGGCTTGAAGCCAAAGCAAGTTCATATGAACCCGTACGGTTGCTTCCGAAGGAAGATTTTAGTCGGTTATCGTCAGTAACGATATACGCGTTACCTGCTGTTGAGGGATGTCCATATAGGGTGTCCTCGTAGAAGCGCGTCACTCAAAGCATCGCCGAAAGAGAGGAAGAAAGAGAGAAAGAGAGAGGAGAAAAAGAATTCCATCTCTTTCTCGCTCGCGCGTAAATTTGCGTACGATCGACCGCGCGCGCGTTCGTCATGATCAAGAACGCGCGACGAAACAGCCGACAGTAAGCCGACCAGAAGAACGAACGATAATGCGATCTTAATTAGCGGATATCGCGACTCGGACACGATTCGGTAGAGAAGAGGAGGAAGAGCGTGATACGGCGTCCGGGAAGTTCAAAAAATGATTCATTGTATATACGAAAAAATTCTGATTGTTTTTCATACGTGTTGAAAATTGTTTAACGTCAAGAGACTCGGATGTGAGATTTTCCTCGAGATGTATCTCAGCACGCATGTTTCACGAGGAAATCAGAGTCACAGTCCGATGTCACGCCTGTCAAGTGTAAGAGATTGACCTGACTTAATACTCGGCAATCACGAAGATCGAAAGAGAATTGGATTTGATTGGGCGGAAAAAGGAACGCGCGCGAGTGTTACGAGGACCACCCCGTATAAATAACCAGGTGCGCTCTCTCTCTCTCTCTCTCTCTCTCTCTC